TTGACTGGCAGACTTATTGACCATTCATAGTCATTCGTTTCTTCAAGCGCAGTCGCAAAAACCATCAAGCACTATGATGAAACTGGCTCTAATGAGGACCGCCACAGGAATGGAAGACCCAGAGTTACCTCTGCTGCAGAGGATAAGTTCATTAGAGTTACCAGCCTCAGAAATTGCAGCCCAAATAAATGCTTCACAGAGTTCAAGTAACAGACACATCTCAACATCAACTGTTCAGAAGAGACTGTGTGAATCAGGCCTTCATGGTCGAATTGCTGCAAAGAAACCACTACTAAATAAGAAGAAGAGACTTGCTTGGGCCAAGAAACACGAGCAATGGACATTAGACTGGTGGAAATGTGTCCTTTGGTCTGGAGTCCAAATTGGAGAGTTTTGGTTCCAACCACTGTGTCTTTGTGAGACGTGGTGTGGGTGAACGGATGATCTCTGCATATGTATTTCCTACCGTAAAGCATAGAGGAGGAGGTGTGATGGTGCTTTGCTGGTGACACTGTCTGTGATTTATTTAGAATTCAAGGCAAACTTAACCAGCATGGCTACCACAGCATTCTGCAGTTATACGCCATCCCAAATGGTTTGGGCTTAGTGGGACCATCATTTGTTTTTCAACAGGACAATGAACCAACACACCCCCAGGCTGTGTAAGGGAAATTTGACCAAGAAGGAGAGTGATGGAGTGCTGCATCAGATGACCTGGCCTCCACAATCCCCCGACCTCAACCCAATGGTTTGGGATGAGTCGGACCGCAGAGTGAAGGAAAAGCAGCCAACAAGTGCTCAGCATATGTGGGAACTCCTTCAAGACTGTTGGAAAAGCATTCCAGGTTAAGCTGGTTGAGAGAATGCCAAGAGTGTGCAAAGCTGTCATCAAGGCAAAGGGTGGCTATTTGAAGAATCTCGAATATAAAACATGTTTTGATTTGTTTAACACGTTTTTGGTTACCACATGATTCCATATGTGTTATTTCATAGTTTTGATGTCTTCACTATTATTCTACAACATAGAAAATAGTAAAAATAAACAAAAACCTTTGAATGAGTAGGTGTTCTAAAACTTTTGACCGGTAGTGTACAGTGAGGGAAAAATCCCCTGCTGATTTTGTACGTTTGCCCACTGACAAAGACATGATCAGTCTATAATTTTAATGGTAGGTTTATTTGAACAGTGAGAGACAGAATAACAACAAAAAAATCCAGAAAAATGCATGTCAAAAATGTTATAAATTAATTTGCATTTTAAATAAGTATTTGACCCCTCTGCAAAACATGACTTAGTACTTGGTGGCAAAACCCTTGTTGGCAATCACAGAGCTCAGACGTTTCTTGTAGTTGGCCACCAGGTTTGCACACATCTCAGGAGGGATTTTGTCCCACTCCTCTTTGCAGATCTTCTCCAAGTCATTAAGGTTTTGAGGCTGACGTTTGGCAACTCGAACCTTCAGCTCCCTCCACAGATTTTCTATGGGATTAAGGTCTGGAGACTGGCTAGGCCACTCCAGGACCTTAATGTGCTTCTTCTTGAGCCACTCCTTTGTTGCCTTGGCCGTGTGTTTTCGTTCATTGTCATGCTGGAATACCCATCCACAACGCATTTTCAATGCCCTGGCTGAGGGAAGGAGGTTCTCACCCAAGATTTGACGGTACATGGCCCCGTCCATCGTCCTTTTGATGCAGTGAAGTTGTCCTGTCCCCTTAGCAGAAAAACACCCCCAAAGCATAATGTTTCCACCTCCATCTTTGACGGTGGGGATGGTGTTTCTTGGGGTCATAGGCAGCATTCCTCCTCCTCCAAAGACGGTGAGTTGAGTTGATGCCAAAGAGCTCGATTTTGGTCTCATCTGACCACAACACTTTCACCCAGTTCTCCTCTGAATCATTCAGATGTTCATTGGCAAACTTCAGACGGGCCTGTATATGTGCTTTCTTGAGCAGGGGGACCTTGCGGGCGCTGCAGGATTTCAGTCCTTCACGGCGTAGTGTGTTACCAATTGTTTTCTTGGTGACTATGGTCCCAGCTGCCTTGAGATCATTGACAGGATCCTCCCATGTAGTTCTGGGCTGATTCCTCACCGTTCTCATGATCATTGCAACTCCACGAGGTGAGATCTTGCATGGAGCCCCAGGCCGAGGGAGATTGACAGTTATTTTGTGTTTCTTCCATTTGGGAATAAACTGTTGTCACCTTCTCACCAAGCTGCTTGGCGATGGTCTTGTAGCCCATTCCTGCCTTGTGTATGTCTACAATCTTGTCCCTGATATCCTTGGAGAGCTCTTTGGTTTTGACCATGTTGGAGAGTTTGGAATCTGATTGATTGATTGCTTCTGTGGACAGGTGTCTTTTATACAGGTAACAAACTGAGATTAGGAGCACTCCCTTTAAGAGTGTGCTCCTAATCTCAGCTCGTTACCTGTATAAAAGACACCTGGGAGCCAGAAATCTTTCTGATTGAGAGGGGGTCAAATACTTATTTCCCTCATTAAAATGCAAATCAATTTATAACATTTTTGACATGCGTTTTTCTGGATTTTTTTGTTGTTATTCTGTCTCTCACTGTTCAAATAAACCTACCATTAAAATTATAGACTGATCATTTCTTTGTCAGTGGGCAAACGTACAAAATCACCAGAGGATCAAATACTTTTTTCCCCACTGTATATCAAAGACCAGATTGGAGAATGGGACATAGACAAGTGAATTGAAGTCAGTTCTTGCATTTGTATGAATTAGTGGTTACAAGATATGTAGACCTTCCAAACACACACCAGGAACAGAAGGGTGTTCCACACAATCTTTATTTAACAATAGCTAAAAGTCCCAAGTGGACAAGTCAAAAGGTCCTTGAGGAACGTTCCGTGCTCAAGTAACGTTATCTGGTATCAATAAAGGCCGATGTTTATTTACAAATTCAGGTTTTCAATTGTCTTTGTAGTAAGTTGGGGGACACTAGTGACTCAAATAGTTCAGATGTGAGCCGGGAGTGTTCAGGCAGAAAAGTCTCTATAATCCACAATGACTTGTCGAGTGCGATCGAAAGGAATTCGCCCCGGTTGGGAGTCTATACTGGTGCGGATTGAATGAGAGGGGTAGGCTACTTAATTTAGGGAAGGGTAAATGTGTTTCACCCTCCCAGTATCCCAAAAGGCCTCCTCTCTGGTTCGACCCGGTTCACAATAGGTACACTGGCATTAACGAGTGTGTAGCACACAAAACAGTAGAGAATGTCGGCAGGCAGTGCTATCAGGTGAAATGTTGGAAATTAACTATAGAGAGATACTTAGCTTTGGGAAGGATGATGCGTTCACCCTCCCAATTCCAATAAAGGCCTTCTCAAAACGGAAACTGGTTGGTCTGCTCCAGCAACAGCACCCATTCTCCTCAGTCGCCTTGGCTCAGGCTCTGCAACCATGCTGCTCCCTGTTCACATCGCCAGCATGATGCTTCTGGCATTCACCTTTAAATAAAGAACAGGCGCAAGCAACTCCCAGGTCGAAATCAGTGACGCATCAATTAATTACTCCTGTGATAAACAGGGGGAAGAGTTACCAGGGGCAAAAGAGGGCGAGGGCGGAAGCAATGGCGGAAGCGTAAGTGGAAGTATTATGCAATTCTGTTGGCGCGAGTAGTTGGTGAGAATGAGTGGACGATGGTGAAGAGTGAAAAGGGCTAAAGTTGGAAATGAACAGCAGTTTATGGTTGGAGTGCGATTCACGAGCAAGGATGTTTTTTTGGGTGACCCGTTTGCGGTCTCAAAGATGGTGAAGGACTAATTGGGTAAGTGGAATTGGTCAGAGTGACCAGGAGTGGTATGATGTTGATTTTGTGTGTGTCATAAACTCAAAAGGAGAAAGCTCTGTGGTTCTACAAGTTGTCGACGTATGATGTGGAAAGCTATGATTTTGAGTAGGGCACCGGTTAAAGGTGTCATCTCTGGTGTCTCGCTGGACATAGAGGCAGTGTGGTTTAGGGATAACATGCCAGGAGTGGTAGACACATCGCTTACATCAAATGATAGATGGAAAGAAGGAGAAAAGCCTATCGGTTCTCCCGACTTGGGTATGTGAGATATGCGGCGAGACCATATGTACAGAAGCCTCTGCAGTGTTACAATTGTAAAAGGTTTGTCGAAGGAATAAATATGTAGTAGTTGAAGAGTCAGATGAAGCATGTTGCTATAATTGTGATGGGAATCACGTTCCCGGAGTGCCCTGTAAGGATGAAGGAGGTCACAGTAGCTAGGATCACAGCTTTCTAGCAGGTCTCCTATTTGGAGGCAGTGAAAATAGCTGAAGGAGTGAGTAGAGATGAGATGAGATGGTAGTGGATGTCCCACAGTCTGCCATGCAGGAGAAGGATCCCGACACACTAACAGCGAAGAAGGTGGAATCTGTTGTGTTTATAGCACATGTGATAAATTGCACTAGTCAAACTCATAAAAAAAATCGAAGAAGCTAAACATCATTATGAAGGCGGCCAATAGATTTCTGGATCTCCAGGACTTTACATAAGGTGTATTGCCTTATTGCAGTTCTCTATGTTTGACAAGAAGTATGGAGCTGTGGCTTGGACTATTGTTTCTTCATAATATGCAATGTGCATAATATGCCATGTGGGGGGTATGTGGATGGCTTTTGACAATTGTTTTAAATTACTCATGTCTTACTCAGTGGTAGGAAGAAGTTTGGTCCAAATTGGATGTTTGGTACTATATTTATTGAATGTTATATGAATCCTATAAATTAAAATGTCCAATTGAGGTGCAATCTATTAGCTTAATTTCTCAGATTAAATTATATTTCAGCCAAATAATGTTGCAGGAATCCTTATCTTATCTGTTTCTAACTACAGAAACCCCTTTAGAACAATCTGAGATGGTGGGTGTCGAAATCCTCTTTCTTGTGCCTTTTTGAGATGGAATGACCCATGTAAATGTGTGTATAACAGATACAGTAAAACTCATTTTCTTCCTCACACTGCCTCTCCACAGGGACGCGATGACATCACTGGGTGATAAAGGCTCTGTCCAGACACAGACCAAGGTCCTGTCCCAGGGCTGCTGGACGCAGGTCAGCTGTCCCTGCTGTGTGTCTGAGCAGGTGGAGCCCCTGGTCTACATCAAGCTGTCAAACAACATCGAGCCTGTCACCAAGAGGTGGCTCATCTCCCTGATTGAAGCCTCAAAGAGACACGGAGGTGAGAGGTCATGTCGGATAGGGTCATCAGCTGATCAGATGTCTGACTGTACTTCAGTCTGTGTTGCTTGTTTTGTTCCAGCCGAGTACTATTAACACATCTGATTCAGTTGATTCCCCTGGGCTTGATGGTTAGTTTATTGAATCAAGAGTTTCAAAGTAGTGTACCCACATCCAGTGAATACTTTATGCATCTGAGTTAAGCCTAACAAAGACTTTTGACTCAAATGTTGCACAATACAACTGCGGGGGCATTCATCAGTGCGCGGGTATCTTAGTTTATTAGTTAAATTAGGTGTGTCAATAAGAACTGGGCTGAAACAAAAGCATGTACACCCTCTAAAATCACTGCAGTAGAGGCAGGAGTACTGAAGTTGACCCTCTCTCCTCCTCCCTGGACTAGGAGCAGCTTTGCTGGCCCACCCTGGAGAGGATGAGTGTGGGGATGTGATTGTGGTGTCTGCTCCTCGCTGCACCCTCCTCAAAGCCACAGAGGACCTGGGTCTGTGTAAGAAATACCGCAATGAAGAGATGGTTGCGTTCGCCTACCACGACAGAGACAACTTCAGCAATGTTGGTAAGAATGTTTGTAATGGTGAGTAGAGAGATATTAATGGTAATAGCAGTTAATAACACAGGTAATAACACCACTCACACATGGACAAAGCTGTGGATGCAAGGATGTCTATGGTGGTTTATATTGTTTGTCTAGAAATACCCAAATAAAAAAAATTAAAAAATTGACTAATACAGTATCATACTTTGAGTTATGATTGAATAAACAATTGAACAGCAGGAAAACTGCAGTGTGGCTTTACTGATTTGGATAGCATGTTACTCTGAAACCATAGCTAGCCAGCTAAGTTAGCAACAACCCTGACAGTGAGCATCTTATTATGTTGGGTTACAGAGTGCAACTAGCTTTCAAAAACGTTTTAAAAACTTTTGATTAAGCTAGCTAGCTAGGCTATGTAGCCCAATGAATCTCACCCAACAATCTACAACTGATTAATCTTAGTTCAAATAGATTTAATTAGCTAAATTGTTAACAGATTATCACAATAGCATACGTGCTATGATATCTTGCTAACTACAGTAGCTAGCAACCAACAGAGCACACTTAAGTGAGCAGTGTAGGAGAGTTGGCAAGCAAATTTGCAAACTAAACAGGCTAGCTAGCTAGAAATCTGACTAACTAGCTAGCTAGTATTCTCTGAAATCTCCGACCTATGCTGGAACATTGGTAACATTGTGCAGACAACCTGTCGGTCTCTAGAGACTAGCTAGCTAAGCAGGCTAACGCGCCACACCTGCCAATCGTCATCCTTACCTCCAAGTGTTTCTTCAGGTTCGAAGTCGAGTCTCTGGATGTCGACAGCAGCTTTACCATGGGCAAACATAGTTTGCTTTGAACTGTTACATTCCTGCCCTTTTCTTCTTTGAACAAAAATTGTTATTTGAAACGCCATCCAAAAACTGCATTGCGTTGGCGCGCCATACCTTTTTATTTTGTGACCGTGTATGTTGCTCAGGCAGGAAGATCAAAGTAGCACTTTTTCATTTAATGACTGACGATAATATGAAAGGTAATTAAGTAAACAGGCAATCGTTTCATGGACATTTGTTTTTCTGCAAACATCCCTTCTATATTTGAAAGTAATCCTAGAAGTAATTATCTACTTTTTCAAAAGTATCGGTAATCTGATTACAATATTTTTGCTGGTAACGTAACGGATTACATGTAATCCGTTACTCCCCAACCCTGGTGGTAGTATAGCCCAAATGACATATTAAATGTAACATATATGACAGTCTTGATTGACGCCTGTCGTCTGTGTTACCAGATGACATGCAGGAGTTCCTGACATTAGCGGAGCGTCAGTACATAGTCAAGATTGAGCTGGACTCTCTACAGGCCCAGAAGAAGCAGAGAATCCCTGGAGTGCCAGATGCTCCTGGGGTCCTGGAGGCCTGGGAGAACATCTGTGAGTCTTTACGTGTGTGCGTGTGTGTGTGTGTGTGTTTAGGGACGTGAATAGAGTGAAATACTATAAATGGGGATGTTGGGTGATTCCTCACGAAACTAGAACAAAAAAGGACTATGATTTTGGGGATATTCATGAAATGTTATCCATAGAAGGGTCCTTCGGAGGAAGGATTGTTGACATATACTTGACATTTGTATCTTAAAGCATAATTGAGAAATTATTAATTGAAGTTGGAATATTTGTGACATTTTGGCCTTACCCAGGCCTCCATTAAGACTCCACAATGTTGTGCTGCAAAGTAGGTGCTACGAGGTGCTACAAAGCAAAAGTTGGTATCATATGAAGCTTTATCACTTGCTCTGTAATATGAGTAGTATTGTTTGTGCGCATCTGTGCTATTCTGCTTACCTCAGCATGTTCTGTCCCAGAGCACCACCTCTGGTTGATTATTTAAGTGCTCTCTCCGGTCCTCTCTCACTGCTCTGTGATCTACATTTGTCTGAGAACTACAACACACTGTCCCTTATGTATGCTGCCCAAGCATCTGGCTATGTTACCTCCTGTATGTGTAATAATGGTAGTTGTATTGTACAGCTCCCTGACGTAGCCCATCCGTCCTGTCTGTGCTGTAGGTCAGAAGCTGGAGAGGTTAGGAGTGATAAAGGACATCTTCCCTCTGCATGACCAGCAGAGACTGAATGACCTCGGCAGAAGTTGGTACTCTAAAAAGCAGATATGGAGACAGCCTCTCGGTAAACAACAACAACATACAGTAAAGACAAATAGAAAATAGTTACATACTGTATACACACACACACTAGAGCTGGGATGATAAACCGAAAAATTACAGACACCGACACTGCTTTCCTCTTACCGAAGCATTTTGCTTACGTCTGTGATTTTGCTACACAACGTTCCTGTAGATTGTGCTAAAAACATGATTTGGTAACAGTAATAGCATATGCATTATGTTGATTCATGCTGCCTGTCCCTGTTTTTCTGTTGGCTGATAACTCTCATTCCCATCTCCCCACTGTGCGCACAGAGGGAGAGATGCATTCTGAGAAGCACAAGCATATGACCATTGCTCAAAATGCTATTGTGAGAAAAATACAGTTTTCAAAGGAACTAGCGTTGTTCTAGTTACAGAGAGGAGAGTTACAGCTTTCTGTGAGTATAGAATGTATTTCTCACCTATTAATATTGAGTTCATGGCACCACTTTATAACTGGAATTGTAGCCTAGGCCTAGTGCTGGAACGTTTTTTGTAGGACATTACTGAGCCTACATTTACTTAGCCTACATGGCTATATAGCAACAATATCATATTTAGAGTTAGCAGTCTAGCTAAGTGTTTAGAGTTCCCACTTCCTCAGGTGGTGAATAATACAGCCTATAGGCCAGTATGCACAAAGATGTTGGCAAATTCTCTGAAGAGCCAGAAACAAATCTGATAATTATGGATCCTATTTTGACAGGTTACACATCAAAATCTCAATCATGCATTTCCTGGATATGTTCGATGAAATAGCTTACTTTTTTAATCATAGGCTACCATCTCAGTTGTTTTACTTGGCACTGACAAAAAATGATCTATAGCCCTACCACTAACGTAAAGTAACTGTCCATTTACATTTTCTTTATTATTGTTGTATGTTGTTGTTATTGGGCAAAATAGTTACATTTATCGTGATATGACTTTTTGCCCATATCGCCTAGCTCTAGCACCTCCCGGATGTTTTTTATTGTCATTTATCGCTGATTTATCATTATCGCAAAAACTGGGTCAATTTATTGTGATATGGACTTACTCCTTTGTCCTACTAATAATCTCTCTCTTCCTGTGCAGATGCAATACATTCATATTTTGGAGGCACTGTGGCGTTTTACTTCAGTTTTCTAGACTTCTACACCTGGGCCCTGGTGCCCCCTGCCTTCCTGGGCCTGGTCCTGACCTTTCTGCTGCCTGGAGGGGGTGGGGTGGTAAAGGAGCAGGCCGGGGAGGGGGTGATGGAGGAAGACAACGATGGCCCCTCGGTCAGCGGTCACATGGTACAGGCTGTATTCAGCATGCTATGGTCCACGCTGTTCATTGAGTTGTGGAAGCGCCGGAGCTCCTCCCTCTCCCACCGCTGGGGCACACTGAACCTGGCAGAGCGCTTCTCAGAGCCCCGCCCTGGCTTCCACGGCACCCTGGGGTTCAACCCTGTGACAGGCCGTCTGGAGCCCCTATTCCCGGAGTGGCAGAGGCAGCTGCGTGTGGGCCTGGTGTCGTTGCCCCTAGTAGGGCTGTTCCTGGGACTGGTGGTGCTGGGCATGACAGGCTTCTACCACGGAGAGGCCCTGGTACAGGGCTTCCATCAGGACAGTGGCTCCCTGTTCTCTGGAGCTCTGCTCTACCTGCCCTCCATGGCCCACATTGTCTACACCAACATGCTGGGGAATGTGTACCACACTGTGGCCATGCAACTGACCGAGTGGGGTGAGAGAGGGCACTGGGCATTGGGGAGGGAGATGGGTTAGATAGGGAAGAGATGATAGAGAAGGGGTTAGAGAAGAGGGAGAGAGAAAATGTGTTCACCAAAGAGCAGAGAGTCATAGAATAATAGTGAATGCAATTGGATTCAAAGTATCACAATTTATTTGTGATAAATCCACTGAAAATCAGTCTTATTTCCCCTCATAGAAAACCACAGAGAGGAGTCCTCCTTCCAGAACCAGCATACCACCAAAGTCCTCCTGGTCAGTCAGTCTTCCTTCCCCATCTGTCAGTAGTACTCCTCCTCCTCCTCCTCCTCCTCCTCCGAGAAAGGTACTCTAGCTGTTAAAAGCGTTGGGCCAGTAAACAAAAGGTAGCTGGATCGAATCCCAGAGCCGACTAAGTGATAGATCTGTTGATGTGCCCTTGAGCAAGGCATTTAACCCTAATTGCTCCTATAAGTTGCTCTGGATAAGAGCATCTGCTAAATGACACATGTAAAAAATGATGCAGAGCTAAATGTATTGTGATACAGGTAAGTGTACTGTGCAGATAGTATCAGCTGTTTATGTATAAGCAGATCTGGGAGGCAAATCAGATACAGTAACACAGGATTCGTATTCATGCCTCCAGAGATATTACTTGAAGCCAAAATCTCCCTCTCTCATTTTCAGTTTACTTTCTTCAACAACTTTGCTGTGCTATTCCACATTGCCTTCTACAAACAGGACCTACCACTACTACGCAAGGTAAGCGATTTCAGCTGGGCAGCACAGTTTGTCTATGAGTGGCCAGAGGAAATGTTATACAATATGGAACTACCTCATTTTAAAGGGTAGATAGATCTAAAATAGATTTATTGAGCTCTACAACAGAACAGATCATGTTCTCTCTGTGCGCTGTATGTGTAATTGACTTCACAGAGAGATTGTGTGTGTGTGTGTGTGTGTGTATATACAGTATGTAACTATTTATGTTTGTTTACTATCAATTTTTGCACACAGAGGCTTGCCTCTCTGCTAATTTGGAACCAGCTGGTGAACCAGTTTACAGAGGTTGTGGTGCCGTTTATAGTCGACCGCTTCCTCAGTGCTCCCCATAAGAAAGAGCAGGAGGACAACCTAGAGGTGGACAAACTCAGAGCTCAGAGAAGCCTTCCACCCTTTCCAGTAAGTCCTTGTAAAATGTGTTTGTCTGTTTTGTTTTTCTCTGTTTCGCTTCATTGTTCATTCCTCGTCTGCCTTGATTTCTTTGTATCTGTGCTTTAGGGGGTAGAATCAAGGTTGGGTGTATTTGCATATGTTCTGTATGTTGGGTGTCTATTTGTTTTGGTGTTATTGCGTCTGTTGCTACGTTTCAGGGCCTGTTTGCGGAGTACATTGAGTTGCTGCTGCAGTTTGGGTATTTGAGTCTGTTCTCCTGTGTGTACCCGCTCACCGCCGTCCTCCTGCTCCTCAACAACATCACAGAGATCCGAGGGGATGGCTACAAGATCTGCAAACTGTTCCGGAAGCCGTTCTCTGCCCCAGTGTCCAACATTGGGGTGTGGCAGGTTAGGAGGGTTTTGGGCGAGGGAATGTGAGAATTTGAACAGAGAGGGCATTTTTACAGCAGATAGAAATGTGTTCTGTAGCTAAATCTGGTAAATAAATAGATGTAAGCAGCATGTAGTGGATAATGTAATTTTCTAATCAGTGCCCATCTATGTCACTGTGTACATTTGCATGTATTTGCTTGTGTCCTTGTATGTTCCTGTAACCATATTTCTGTATGCCTGTGTATGTTTCAGACAGCGTTTGAGGTTCTGGGCTTTGCCTCAGTCATGTCTAACTGCTGGCTGCTGCTGCTGTCCCCTCGCGTCCAGGAGTTCTGTCTGGAGGGAGGGATCAGCGGCAAGAACATCATACTCTTCGCCATCCTGGTTGAGGTACAGTATGAGGGAGGGGGTGTAGGTTTGGGGAGCTTTCCTGGTGGAGGTACAGTATCTTGTTCATAACAGTACAGTATATGTTTCATCGCAGTTGTCATCATCTGCCCAACCAACATAGGTGAGGGCAGCAGGTGTCATAGAAATATTTGACTCAAAAGTAGTCAACTCAAAAATATTTCTCAAGAGACTGGAGCTTGTGAATCTAAAAATTAGACTTTTATTATTTGCATAACAAAGCCGAGCTTGCTCCATGGAGCAACTGCTTGCCCTGAACCGGAGCTGTCCTTTTATACAGACACAAATGCATAGTCAACATACATAGTTACTCCTCTCTAAGTGAATGAATAACATCTTTTCATTATCACATGTTGGCTACTCACGGGGGCTACTTGCGCTTCTCTAAATGGGTCCTCTGTATCTTATTAGTGGCGTGACTCAAAATATTATGTACATACGTACATTAAAGAACAATCACACTCTGTATTGACTATATTCACTATCCAGACATATATCTGAAGTACAAAGTATCCATCATGTTCATTCTGTTTTACCTTTATCATTTCATAACACATTATAAAACATATCAATTAATACTTAAACATGGTTTAAACAAGTCATCCATAACCCATTCTCAACCACATACATTTAAGCATTTATAATTTACCATCCTCCCTGGCCCTTGAGATTATGTGCATGTGGCTATGTGTCAGGTCATAAGCACAAACAAATGATAACACTAGTTCCATTGTTACTCCAATCTCCACACAGACACCACGAGGAGTTGTATCTCCATCACATGTCATTGACATACCCAGACCAGCTACAGGGAGTTTATGAAAAGCACAGAAATGTCTCTGCTCTGTCTCAACCCTTCAACTGGTTCTCAATCCATAAGCATTTAAGGTATATAGGTGTTTCATTCTACCATACAGGTAGCCTAGCGGTTAAGAGCGTTGGGCCAGTAACCGAAAGGTCGCTGGTTTGAATCCCAGAGCGGACTAGGTGGAAAATCTGTTGATGTGCTCTTGAGCAAGGCACTTAACCCTAGTTGCTCTGGATAAGAGCGTCTGCTAAATGACTAAAATGTGTGTGTTTGTTTATCAGCATGTCCTGATCCTGGTCAAGATGATTCTAGCCTTCATGATCCCAGATGAGCCTGACTGGGTCAGAATCAAGAGGGAACAAATCGAGTTTAACTCTATGCAAGCTCTAGGGCAGCAGGTAAGAATGATCTAATCACTAATAATATAGAAAAGCCCTGCCAGTTACTGGAACAATCAGGTATCTGACAATCAAACATCTCCTTTTGACTCTTACAGAAGCTATGAAGGCTATGGAGCCCCTGTGGGAGAGTCTGAGTGTCCTGTTGCCCTTCAAGTGTTGGTCTGGACTAGGGGGCTCATTAGAATCAGTTGCCATGACGAGGGTAGAGAGGAGGATATAAAGACACATATACCCTGGAAACAGCCAGTCTGAGAAGCTCTCTCAGCATCTCCCTCTCGAGGACTCCCTCTACAGGCATAAATACAGTTCAGAAAGGAAACACCAGGTATTCGTTTAACCATTTAATAGAACAGATTAACAATACATTAGGTCTTGGCAATAGGCTCTGCTCCTTCAGGGTAGCTCACTGCCAGAGCAAAGTGTCAACATATATTAAAGTAACTACAGGTGTGCTATACCAATCCACCTGCAGGAAGGAAAACAGAACCAAACAGGTGGAGGTTGGGGTGGTGGTGGTTTGGGTGGTGGTGGGCAGCAAGAAAAACAAACGCAAACTAGCAGTAGCAGCAAGCGGCAGCAGAGGATGTCTGAGCAGAACCTGGTCAGCTGAAATAGATCGCCATATTAAGGTAGAAAGCGTTGTTAGCATCTGATTGGTACAATCTTTGCTGATGCATCAGCTGATGCAGACACTCGGGTTTTCCTTCTGAACCGGCTTTGCTTTATAAGTCATGGGAGATACTAGAGGCAGGGGCCAGGGACTGAAGGGAAACCCAATGAAGAGCTAGGAGTTTTGTTCTTTGTGTTAATGTAGCTTTGCAGCTTCAGGTGTCTGAGATTTCTTGAAATACTGGGTAGCTTTGGACTTTGTGTGGGGCACATACTATGCAAGTATTTAATTTGCTCTATAATTACATAAGTGCAATTGTATTTTTTTACATTTTCGCCACAGTGGTTTACGTACTTTCACATCATGAGTGTTACATTGTACGCTTCAGGCACATTACAAACCTACTAAGATCACATGATAAATTACTTGAAGATTTTACAAAAAACATAAGGATTAATGATTAACTTGATTTTGGAATATATACTATTTTCATATGTATCTTTTAAAATGGAAGATTTAGAAGAGATGCTGTGTTGGATGAATGTAGATGGTTGTGTTCAGCCAAATAAACTAAACAGCCAAATCATCACAAAACTGTAGGCTACTTCTCTTTCTTGCTCTAGTCAGAAAAGTACAAATATTCATTTTGCCCACGATGCCCTGCTCTACAAGTCACAACAAGCACTGCCAAAGTGCTGCACTACAAGTCACAGTAAGCACTGCCAAAGTGCTGCACGCCAAACGGGGGGGGGGGGGGGGGGGCAATTACCCCAGGGGGCTAGTTACCCCCTAGTACCCCATTATTTATCTGCTTTTGTTTTAATATGTTAAAATGCTATATACAGCATCCTATGTACTGTACCTAAATGGACATTATTAAAGGGCCATATTTTTTCAAATAAAACATTGGCCAGTTTGGGTTGCAGTTGTACACAGGTTTTCTTGTATAAACAAGCATAATAGGCTATGTCTGGCCTGTGAATTCATTGTGTTTTTTCAATATGGCCCGTGGGCTGATTGAGTTTGACACCCCTGGTCTAGGTTGAAGTAACCTAGGATAACCCCGGGTCAAGGTACAGGCACAAGTGGTGAAACTGACATGCTGACCACACCGCTCGCGTTACGTGCGCGAGTGTTGCAAAATAAATGTACACATACAAGTTATTCAATAATTTAATCCAAACTGCTCGCATGCTTCAACGAGCGTCTGCGTAGCCAGGCGCTAAAATAGAACTTGGTTCTATTTTTGATGCCTGACGCGCTGCAAGTCCCGTCTCTCCTCATTGGTTTTTAAGGAGCATATACACAAGTTTACGCGCTGTATCCCGGGTGGCGCCATAACTCTACACAAATGCATTTCATTTCCGCCGGAAGTTGTTTGCACAACGTCTGCCGGTGTAAACACAGCGATGTCGACGCTAGCTTGGGAACACGGTTCTACTACTTTGACTGGAGATGGCGCTACTCTCCTCCACCCGAATTCAGTGCAGAACTGGGAGGATAACATGACGACGTGGCCCAACATAACGTACAGCAAGATTTGCTCCTACTTCGTGCAATCCATGGCAATAGATGGAAAAGCAATGGACAATCTGAAAGCCTCCGAGGCATATCAATATCTGCACAGCAACAAAGTCGTTTTGTTTATCTGAAAGCAAATGTAGAGCCTAGCCAGTGTTTGAACAATGCATGGCATAATGCTTGGGTGCTGGTAACTGAAGCTGGAGAAGTCAAAACTGCGGGATGTACGTGTGTTGCTGGACCAGGGAGATCTTGTTCCCACTCAGCTGCGATCCTGTGGAAGGTAATTATTTGACCATTGTAGCCTAGGCCTATGTCTTCTTTTCAAAACGCTATAAATCCATCAATTTGTTATTTAAAAAAAAAACTATTTTGTGTTTTAATTTTCGTGTTTGCATTTATGAGGAAAAAACAATGTTAGGCCTACGACAGTTCTCCATTACGGATGTGAGCGCTCTGAAAGCGGCACTAAAGACTTTCAAACTTTCACAGAGACCTCAAAACAGAAAGAACAAAGCCTTTAAAGCGAATTTCGTTTTGTATTAATTGTATCTTAATTTTAATAAATTTTTCATTAACCAAATTCCTGGATTTAATAAATAAAAAATAAATATAGCAGACAGACAATAGATAATGACAACATAAGGCTCAGGCCTGAACTGGAGCTTATGCATGAACCGAACACTTGTTTATGAATAAACAATAAAAATGTCTCATTGCAATATTTTACATATTCATAATCATTACTTTTGCTGGTTCTTTGAGACAGCTTTTAGGTGCCGTTTAGATAAGCGCGCTCATAATTGAATTGAATTATGATAATAACGCATTTTCTTCATATTCGTGTTACATCATATGACATGTGTGCAGTGAACCCATTATAATATCTATGCACTGTTTTTACTATATCTCTCTAGGTAGAAAATGCTGTGAGACAGGGGAAAACCGGGCGTGCCTGCACAGACGGACAAAACCAGTGGAATGCTGGGTCTAAAAGAAATGCTGGTCAGAGGAAGATGAAGTATGTCCGCTTCAAACGACACAACAGGAAGGATCTCTACCAGCCGCCACCAACTTCACCGCCATCCTCTACCACTCCAGAACCGGCACAGGAGGTGACACTCTTTAGGACTCATGAAGAGTGGAGGAAGAACGCACTTGCCTCACCAATGGCAGCACTTTTCAATTGCCCTGGGAATAGCCTCCTGCAGCTCTGCTTTAATGCTAATACCTCCTCCATCACCGAGCCAACACCATGTCCACACCTCCATCTCCTAAACCATGATGAGCACTGTTATGCTATAGCAGCATTTATGATGTAGACTAAGGCACACGCAGGCAGGCACACACACACACACACACACACACAATTAATGATGTAGCTATCGTGGGCATTGTTTGTCCCATCTCCAAAACAATCAACTGCCTTAGCAAAATACCGGTAGCAATGTTAATGTATGACAACTTCTTCATAATTAACAGTATTGTCAGCTTCATAGCTAAAGTTGCTGAACTTACCCTCAGATTCAAGTCTGCGTTTCTTTATCTGGGGGGAGGCAGTGGTCCGCTGGGTGAGTTGACGCCTCTTTGGCTGGGGAGGGCGATTGTATCCCAACCACAACTCTGGGAAAGGATTATCCTTGGTAGGTTTTTGGTCAACAAAGTGATAGGAACAAACAAAAACGTTGAGGGGTGGTTTCTTTAGATTCAATGCCTTCAGCCAGGTCCTTGATTCCGAGTCGGTATCAGGCTTGCGAAAAAATGTAAACAATGGAGCGCATGGACATTGCCTTTTTGTAGCTGGTTTGTGGTCGTAGCACTCTCTATCTAACCACTCGTTCAGGTGCTTTCTCGAGTTTTTGCAACCAACTACCGCACACGTCGTTCCCGAACCACTTTTCTTCATGTTGTAATTGTAATTTTTATATCCTCTTTGTCACTGCGATATCAGTGCTTTGTCGGCACAACGGAGCTAGCTAGCAAAACAAACCCAGCCCGGCAGAACGGAAGTGGATTGCATCGACGGGAGGAGTTCAGGAAGTAGAGCGGAAACGGCTCAAAAACTTGTCTATACCCACGTGGGTGATTGAAAGATGAACTGAGGACCACACTCCTGTCCAGTTGGTGGTGGTGATGCACCTTAAAAGTTGGTTGCCAACCGCCATATAAAGTCCAAAGAAGAAGAAGAAGACTGAAGGAGGAGAGATTACTAACTAGGTTTACCCTTTTATCTGGAGAGTAATTGTCGGAGTAGAGGACCTTGTGCATTTCAGGTAAAATAACAACCCAATGTTTATATCCCAGGACAAATTAGCTAGCAATAGCAAGCTCGCTAGCTAAATTGCCATGAATATTTCATGCGTTTTCGACCTGTCCCCAGTTCGTTTTGATATTTCAACCTGCGTGTCCTGATCGCGTCTGGTGAGGATGGACAAAATCAAAATGCTCCCGATGGCGCGCGCCCGGTCTAGTCAGCATGTGACAGTGCGTGCAGCTCATCACCCACTTTGCAGATGTAATGGCTATTAGTAAAGAGGAATTAAAATGACAAACTCTTTCACGTTTTCCAGCGGCTCGAACAGCGGCTATGAAATAGTCTGAAGCACAATAGAAAAGGTTCCAGTATGGGACTGTCTGCTTGGTCACTATACTGGATACCAGTAAGACCGACAGGGCGCGCAATGGGACTATAGGGCTGGAGATTAGTGTGTATAACGCACTCCCTCCTTACAGCAACCTGCGAGAGGGAGGCTTCCCTCGTCACATTGCTCCAACACCCATGTATACAGTCATGCCCACACTGTTTGGAGGCTAGACATCAGTGGACGCTGCTGAGGGGTGAACGGCTCATAATAAATGGCTGGAATGGCGTAAATGGAATGGTATCAAAAACATGGTTTTCATGTGTTTAATACCATTCCATTCACTCCATTCCATCCATTTTACTCCATTCCAGCCATTGTTATGAGCCGTCCTCCCCTCAGCAGCCTCCACTGCTAGGCATGCATACAAAAGACAGTGGACCGGAATAGAACCCACGCTGACATATATGTGTGCCGGGGTCTGCGGCTGTAACCGCTGGACCATATAGGCCACTCAGTCTAGCATTAGTCCAACACAGAGGAACAGAGCAGGGGCATTACCTTAGGCAGCATACACATTACTAGCAGCAAAGTGAAAGGTGCCTGCTGTCTCCAACAGTCTGGAACCAGCCTACTAGATGAAGGGAGCGAACGCGCCCTATCGGTTGCGGATCTTCAGTGCAGTCAAATCCCTCTTGTAGGATAGGATGGGAATAACATTGCAGGACAGTTAACCAAGTGAATGGAGAACTAGTTAGCTGCCGGAGGAGATTGTACGAGCCTAGCTGATCCTAGAAGGCTAAAGGTGTGCGCCACACATAAGGTGATAATGCCTCCCTTCCCTCTGATTCCCCTGACGCTATGCCCATGCAGGGTGACGGCCGAGAGAGGGAAAAACATCCACTCTGAAGTGTGGCGAGCCCCAAGATGGTTTGCTATGGCCATGTGGTGATTTGCTACTTATTGCTTGTTTTCCTATGAAGGAAACCAATTCAGGGTACAAGGATCAGGCAAGATGTGCAATAGCACTGTTGGCTTAAGACACCAGATAGCTGTCCAGGGCCTAGTCCAACAGGACCTGTCCCCTTTCCCTTCTTTGGGAACTGAGAAGTAGCGTGAACACATACTTCATGTTCCCTGCTCCAAACAGGATGCAGCACAATCCTTTGGTAATGGAGCTCTAGTGGCACAACGAGGAGTCTCCTCTTTTTTGTTGCTCTGTGCTCTTGGCCAGGTACCTGGACGCAACAGAGACAAGTTTATAAAGAGGTTTGGTGCTGTGCACTAACGGGAATGGCGCTTGATGGCAACTGGTGTTCTGTTGTCCTGTTCCTCTTGGAACTAAGCAGGATGGAGGAATGGCGAACACATCGACATCCTCCCCCGGTTGGAACAACATAGCCGGGGGAGAGCTATAACTGAGGTGGCACTCAGGGGGATGAAGTGCAGCTCTCAAGACTATAACGAAACCAATAACTAGCCTACTGATTTTGCTGCTTTCATTATGTCTAGGGGTCTTAGG